GTTGTGGTAGTGTTGTGATGGGGACGACGGTGGTGATTTGGGTGGTGTTGTGGTGAGGGCGGGGGTTGAATAGTATTTGTTACCAATTATTTGATTGATTTGTAACCAAATATTGGTGGAAGATCGGGACGGGGTGGGGTGTTTGGTGTATGTGACCGACATTTTGGTTCATTGTGACTCATTATTAATCTATGACCTTAAATTTCGATAATTTGTGACCTAGAAATTTGAAAATATGTGACCTATCGATAAATTGTGATCTATAATGAATTAAATTGTGACGTATAAAATTTTTAATTTGTGTCTTTGAAATAATTTGTGACCTATAAAATTTTTGATTTATGATGGTAAACTAATTTTTAACGTTTCAATTTTTTATTTGTAATCGATAAATAAATTATGTGCAACCTATAAAATTTAGGAATTGTGACCGTAAAATAATTTGTGGCCTATAAAATTTTTGATTTGTGATCATAAAATAATTTGTGACGTTTCAATTTTTGATTTGTAACCGATGAATAAATTGTGACCTATAAAATTTTGGAAATGTGACCGTAAAATGATTTGTGATCTATAAAATTTCTGATTTGTAACAGTAAAATAATTTGTGACGTTTCAGTTTTTTATTTGTGACTGATGAACAAATTGTGACCTATAAAAGTTTTGAATTGTGACCATAAAATAATTTATGACAAAATTTATTATTTGTGATCAATTATATGGAATTTGTGACCAAAATATATGAAATTGTGACTTTAGTATATTTAATTAATAAAATATATGTTTAATTAATTTATTTATATATAATTTTTTTTTAAAAAAACTGAGATTTTAAATTTGAAATTGATAAAATTAAACCTCTTAGTTATGAAATTTTCCCCTTTTAATATTTGATATTGTGAGTAATAGCAAGGACAATCAAGAATAGGGGATATGAATGACATGGGGTTCGATAAATGTATACATTGAATCGAATCACATTTTTTGTTATTCAAGAACTTGTTAAGAAATATCGTAATAGATAATTATGGAGAGTCTACGAAGCTTATGAGGAGACAAATATGCACAATCAGATATGAAATTGTTATATTTTACTATTTAGTACCCTTGTCTTCAAAATTAATTATTATTATATATTTTTTTAAATGTGCCTTCACTAGTTGGAAGTCATGTTGTGCACCTCTTCCTCTTAAATTTATTTCAATTTATTTCTGTTTTCGAACCTTCTTTTTCTTCTTTATCTTTTACGTCCACTTCAAACCATTCTTCTTGCCAATTCCTTAAGAGCAAAGGAAAAAAAAAAAAAAATTAAAAAAAAA